GCGACTCACACACACAATCGACTCACACACACAAACATCGGCTTTAGATACACACACATGGAGTTACACACACACATATCGACGTACACACATACAGCGACACACACACATCGACTCTGTCAGGGAGGCTGCCCCCCCCCCTCCCCGTTCACCTGTGACCCACCGCTCTCCGACCCCCCCTCGCTGCTGCCCCTCGTGGCATGATTTTAAAGGGGCTGTACGAACAGCCCCGCGAGATCACCGCTGTGCACCTTTCGCACACGCTAACCACGAGCCGCGCGGTGGCGAGCGCACCCACGCGGGTAGAATACCCGCCGGCGCGTGAACACAGGACACTCCAACGAGTAGGCTCACGGGTTAACGTACGCGTCGAGCGCGCACACGTGGGTGAAATTACACACCCGCGCGCAAACACAGGAAACCACAGCCCGCAGGCTCACGGGTTAACGTACGCGGTAAGCACGCACACGTGGGTGCAATTACACACCCGTGCGCAAACACAAGAAACCACAGCGTGCAGGCTCACGGGTTAACGTACGCGGCAAGCGCGCACACGTGGGTGAAATTACACACCCGCGCACAAACACAGGAAACCACAGCGCGCAGGTTCACGGGTTAACGTACGCAGCAAGCGCGCACACGTGGGTGCAATTTCACACCCGTGCGCAAACAAGAAACCACAGCGCGCAAGCTCATGGGTTAACGTACGCGGCAAGCGTGCACACGTGGGTGAAATTTCACACCCGAGCGCAAACACAAGAAACCATAGAGCGCAGGCTCACCACACCACGCACCCCTCTCCGTATTCGCAGAGATAACATGACACGGTTTATTGTCTACTGGCGATTTATTCTCTGTTTAATTAAGAGTTAATCTACCCGTGTTAGTGTGAGCCAGCAGGGCAGGTCCATCCTATCTCATGGCGGTTTAGGACTCAATTTGCCTGGCCTCTCCCTACTCACTTCCCCTACGGGATTTTCCCCTTGGACTTACCTCTCCTCTCCGTACTTACGATCCGACCTCGTGGTGTTGGAAGTCGCGGATAGACGATGCTGCACGTGGCTTTTGCTGGGACTGCTCTGCGACCCGTCTCACGGACGTTCGAGTAGCAGGGGACAATCACTCCTCAATCCCTTACTCCAAAAGACCCCAGGCGAAAGAGAACTTGCTTCCCAATCTCATCCCTTTTTATGCTCCTACTTCAAAGCCCATGCGCCGCCGATCCACTGGCTTCTCATCCAATCAGGAGCCTCGGATTTCCCGCTCTCCGACGCCCCGCCCCCCTATTGTTTGGCCGAGTGCACCACATCATAGGGATCAACCTGTGCCGCCCCGCCCCCCACCTGCCTGCTGGTCCACGTGTGCCTTGGGCTATTCCTCACTGCGGTTGTCAGTAGTTTGCCGTGGCCGTGCAATTTGAAGTCAATCCACTGCGTCGCAGTGCCATTCGGCCTGGGGGCGGGGCCTGCCAATTCCCTGGCCCTGAGAAACCGTGCAGCACCCCCACGGGGCTGGCGAGCCCTTCCCACCATCCATCACAGAACAATTATCTCATCAAGACTCTGTATCATAGAGCCCAATGCATATTCGACCAGGAACACATAGGCAATGAACTCAAGCACGTACACCAAGCTCTTAAGGCTAATGGTTACTCCGACTATACAATCCGCAAAGCTATCACTCAAACCATGAAGGACCCTCTTGAGGAGCCTTTCAAAACCATCACTTTACCCTACATTGCGGGGATCACAAAAAAGATCTCCAAAATCTTGAATAGACACAAGATCCAGGTCCGTTTCAACACATTACGTAAAATCCGTGATCTGGTTCCGTCTGTAAAAGATGTGATTCCGGACATACAATACCCTGGTGTCTACAAACTAAGTTGCCTCTGTGGTAGTAGTTACATTGGAGAAACCAAACGTCATGTCTCGGACCGCATTCGTGAACACAAAGCAGACCTTAAACACGGTAGGACCAACACCTCGGCCGTGGCAGATCATTGTTATAATTCAGTAGGCTCACATGACATTGACTTTTCCAAGACAGAGGTTCTTTGTAAGCCATCTGGCTACCATCAGAGATTCGTTCATGAGGCTATCCACATACACAAGCACAGAGACAATTTCAACCGAGAAGATGGATTCTGGCTTAGCAATCATTGGAAAGATTTGATCAACCATTTCAGGTCTTAATTGATTGTTCGCGCTTACAGTGGCTTTCAGACGGCATACATTAAAATTTTTCGTCTCCCCCCTCCTCTTTTCAGAACATAGATGGACTCGTCCTTCTAAATAAACTGCCAAATCGCTGCGTGTGGCGCTAACGGTTTTTTTTATAAATAAATAAAATGTGCCGTTTACAAATAAATACATTTATGCAAACCGACACACCTGATGATGACCGTTTGTGTTATGGTCGAAACAGCGTGAGAATTTTTATTGTTTTATATATTTTTTATTATTTTATTGTTTCCCTTCAACGTGACTTTACCGAAAGAACTAAGAATATGAATTACTGCAGTCACGAAAGCTTTAAATCAAAACAAAAATAAATTCACGACGTTTCGGCCACAACACAAGTGGCCTTCATCAGGTGAAGGGGACCAGACTGTCCTGAGGACAGTGCTGGACCTTTAAGCTGTGAGAGGAAACAAGGCGCCTTGACAAAGGAATTAGCATAAAAATTAGCATTTAATTGGCGGACTTAGCATGATGAACGGTGTAGAGGGGGAAACATGTGCAGACCGGCGAGGGGGGGAGGGGGAGTTTACATATTGATGGTGTGAAAAGGGAATTTAAGCACCTGCGAAAGTTTGGGATACCACTACTTGAAAAAATATACTGTACCATTGAAAATTAGTTTAATGTTTGGTTCGATTTAGAACATCTTTCCATTGGTTGCCTAATTTGAAACCATCTTCTCGGTTGAAATTGTGTCTGTTTGTAAATCTGAATTGCCTCGTGAACAAATCTCTGATAAAAACCCGTGGGTTTGCAAAGAACCTTGGTATCGGAGAAAATTATATCGTGATCACCCACAGCGTTGTAACAGTGATCAGCTACGGCAGACTTTGTTCTGCCGTGTTTCAAATCCGATTTGTGCTTGTCAATTCGGCTTTGAACCTTTTCCTAGACCACATTAATTCCAGACACCCTGCCATCAAATTCACCATGGAAGTGGAGAAAGATGGCAAGCTGCCATTCTTGGATGTTTTGTTTGAGAGGAGACCTGATGGCTCATTGGGACATTCTGTCTACAGGAAACCCACCCACACAGATTCCTACTTGAAACCTGATTCCCACCACCACCCGGCGCAAAATAATTTTCTCATCAAAACGTTATACCACAGGGCTCATTGCATTTCGGACCAACACCACCTGACCAGTGAATTAAAACGTGCATCTGGCCCTCAAAAGGAATGGATACTCTGACCATACCATCCACCAAGCTGTTTCTCCCTCCATACAGAAACAACCACTTGATATTCATATTCTTAGCTCTTTCGGTAAAGTCACGTCGAAGGGAAACAATAAAATAAAATATATAAAACAATAAAAATTATCACGACGTTTCGACCATAACACAAACGGTCGTCATCAGGTGTGTCGGTTTGCAATAATTTATTTATTTTTAAATGGTTTATTTATTTAAAAACGTCAGCGCTACGCGCAGCGATTAGTCAGTTTATTTAGAAGGACTAGTCCATCTATGTTCTGAAAAGAGGGGGGAGACGAAAAATTAATGTGTGCTGTCTGAAACCCACTGTAAGCGTGAACAATCAATTAAGACCTGAAATGGTTAATCAACTCTTTCCAATGATTGCTAAGCCAGAATCCATCAACTCGGTTGAAATTGTCTCTGTGCTTGTATATGTGGATAGCCTCATGAACGAATCTCTCATGGTAGCCAGATGTCTTAAAATAAATAAATTTATGCAAACCGACACACCTGATGACGACCGTTTGTGTTATGGTCGAAACGTCGTGAGAATTTTTGTTTAATATATATTTTATTATTTATTGTTTCCCTTCAACGTGACTTTCCCGAAAGAGCTAAGAATATGAATTACTGCAGTCACGAAAGCTTTAAATCAAAATTTTACGACTTAATACTCCGATCAAAACCATCACACTGCCATATATAGCAGGCGTTACTAAAAAGATCTCCAAAATTCTAAACAAACACAAGATCCTGGTCCGGTTAAATACAGTACACAAAATCCGTGACCTGATCCCTTCCGTGAAGGATGTCATTCCTGACTTACAGTACCCCGGAGTTTACAGATTGATCTGCACCTGTGGTGACTGCTATATCGGGGAGACGAAACGACATGTCTCTGACCGAATTCGCGAGAACAAATCAGATTTGAAACACGGCAGAACGAATTCTTCTGCCGTAGCTGATCACTGTTACAACGCTGTAGGTGATCACGATATAATTTTCTCCGATACCAAGGTTCTTTGCAAACCCACGGGTTATCAGAGATTTGTTCACGAGGCAACTCAGATTTACAAACACAGACACAATTTCAACCGAGAAGATGGTTTCAAATTAAGCAACCATTGGAAAGTTCTAAATAGAACCAAACATTAAACTACTTTTCAATGGTACAGTATATTTTTTCAAGTAGTGGTATCCCAAACTTTCGCAGCTGCTTAAATTCCCTTTTCACACCAACAATATGTAAACTCCCCCCCCCCCCCTCGCCGGTCTGCACGTTTCCCCCTCTCTACACCGTTCATCATGCTAAGTCCGCCAATTAAATGCTAATATTTATGCTAATTCCTTTGTCAAGGCGCCTTATTTCCTCTCACACAGCTTAAAGGTCGCGGTCTGAGCTTGGCTGTGTTCACTCCAGCGCTGTCCTCGAGACAGTCTGGTCCCTTCACCTGATGAAGGCCACTTGTCTTGTGGCCGAAACGTCGTGAATTTTTTATTTTTATTTTATACTTTTACGTGACTTTACCGAATAGAACCAAAGAGTATGGATCCTTGCAGTCACGAAAGCTTCAAATCTAGAGATAACAATTGTCACTAAAAGAGCGACACTAAAAGCGCACGCAGTTTAAGGCAATGAAGATTTATATTAAGTTTTCACGGATATAACAAACCAAACGCTTCTGAACAATATTAATTCCAACAAACCGCCATGCAAGGAACATCTAAATGTTTAAAGACAAACGATCGTGTTTTCGAACAGCGAAGAACCAGCTTGTTTCCAGGAAGCAGGCATCAGCCGGGAGCTTCTGCAAGGTGGACATGGAGCAGATCTACTCCGACGCAAATATCTAGACAATAAGAATCGTCCCGACTTGTTAACAAAGATATCCCTGCTATACGAGACGTAGGCCATGTAACGCAACTAATCAACGCAGCATCCACCACCACAGTACTGCCAAGCATCACCGCGCCCATCGAAACAGTGTCAAGACATCGCATTGACGCCAGAGCGCGCGTGCCGCCGTGCACTTTGCAACCCCCTCTGGATTTTAAAACACGCATCGAGTGACGAGTGCCTGCCATGTAAAGCACATTAAGATGCGCCCAAACAACTCCGTTTTACGCAATTGGACTTTTTCTATAATCGTGTAGCTAACTGTACTCAAAACACGATTTCGAACTCGCATCGTATTTTCATTATCACAATATCAGTGAGCACAAAGACGCAGGGCTACGTGATGGTCAAGTCACCGATTCTACACGAAAAGGCGAAACGTACTATAAACAGTCGAGTACATTCTGATTGGGTTGTGCGGCATATTATCGGGTGCCTAGTGAGTTGACATATCTGGGAGTGGACCATCTTCAGACCAAATAAATCATTAACTTCTGCTACAAGCTCGCATTAAACACCGCAAACACGACCGCCTATCTTCGGCGTCGCCATCATCATTACCATCACATCATCACCATCGGTGTCATCATAATTACTATCAAGGCGAGCGAGCGGGTTCAACTATGACGATACTTGGAGTTAGTCTTCCCCGATGACAGACTCTGGGTCTGGATTTGCTTGCGCTGGGGCTTTCGCGCCGTGGGGCAGTGCGAGATGGTGTGGGCCAAGTCTCCACTCGCGCCGCACAGCGGGCACGAGTAGCCGCGCATCACCGGACACTGAACGCGCCCGTCGGCGTCCTTGAGCACGTGTGACGACCAGATCCTGACCGAGGCCCCGTTATTATAGCAGAAGGCGCAGCGGATGGCTCTCTTCGCCGCACGGTCAGCAGCACGAGTCGAGCCACCGTCACGGGTCGAGTCAGAGGCACGGTTCTGTCCACTGGCACGGGTCGACACAGTGGCACGGGTCGACACAGTGGCACGGGTCGACACAGCGGCACGGGTCAACACAGCGGCACGGGTCAGGTCAGCAGTAATCGCTACCGCGATTCGCTGGCCCGACTTCATGAGTTGACTCTCCTGCAGCTTCTGATGTTGCCTCTCCTGCTCTAGCTGCTGTTGTCTTTCCAGCAGCTGCCGCCAGTCACAGACCGGCTCGCTACTCCTCGCAGGTGGGAACTCCAAACAGCAGTGGCGTCGCTGCTGCTGTTGGCCAAGTGGTGATGTTAGCGCTGGCAACGAACGACTCTCGTTGAAAATCGTGTCCAGTGATAACGGTGCTGGTGGTCGTGGTGGTGATGGTTGTCGGCGTGGAGATACACCGTCATGAGGTGGTAGTGCCATTGGTGACCACGTGAACTGCTCCTGCGGGAAGAGCTGATACTCTCCGGGCTGCTGCTGCAGATCCTCACCATGGAGGTGATGGCGACTCTGCAGGGTACCGTTTCCGGACGAAGGCGACACATAGTCGCCTCCGCTGCTGCGGCCGTGAGCGTTCATCATTCGCGGTGTCGGTTGGCCTTGGCTCTGCTGCGCGCTGCTACTCACAGAGCTGTAGCTGCTACGCAAATATTCCATGAAGCAGGAGTCGCTGCTGGAGTCACCGCCAATTCTGTCGCCAACAGCAATCATCGAGCAGTGGAGAGCGCCTGACTCGCCACTGCCACCGAGCAGTGAAAGGGACGCACCAACTGGGCACGCGGTAACTGCTGTGGAAACTCCAATTCGCGTATAATCTTGTATAGTCATCAAAAGCCCCGCCCACAGCTGTTGACTTATAAGGAATCACGTGTCGAGTTTAATTGGCGTTCAAATTAAAGGCGCTTGCAAGTCGGTTCATGTAAGGTGACAGGCACTGCTGATTGCGCCATCAAGCAAAAGACACAAGATGCCAAACAATACAGGGTGGCCTAAAAGTTAGCACACTGGGTTATTTAATTTATTTTAACATTGGCATAAAAATGTTTACTCTTTAAGTTAATATTGCATCTGTTATAATTATGTGTATCTATGTTTCTTCCTCCTGTGGGGTCACCTCAAATCTGGCCCTGAGCTTGCCCTAGGTCGACTCAGCCTCAAATTATTCCTGATTGCAGTGTGTACATATCGCTACTGGGCATGGTGCTGGCCAACCCACCCCTCGTGTGCTGTGCTGGTCTACATGATGTGCGACTCGTTAATAGTATTTGCCCGAACAGCCTGTTAAGGCTATACGGGGGATCTTTGTCTTTGTAGTCACAGCGAGCACCCATGTGACATTGGCACAATGATACCAGACAGCCTGGCGCCAAGAATTAATTAAAGATCCACTCGATATACAGTATGTTGCACGAGCGCAAGAAGGGTGTCGAACACACGGACCGGACCCCCCCACAAGCCCCTTACTGCTCGCCACGTGTTTTAATTTATACGACTTACATTTTTATATTCGCGTAAATGATTTAGCGATCTAACCTAAAAAAACTACGTTATAAACTTACGTGGTTTTTTTAAGCATTCGAACCCTTCTCAATGCCCTCGTCCAGACCCCCCTGCCGCCCAAGTTCACAGCTGCAAAGTTTGCACACAGACCCCCGTCCTTCCCCACGGCCACGTTATCTGAGCGATAGACATCCACAGAAGTACACCGACCCCTCCCCCACCTCTGTGTACCTAGAAATCGGAGGAAGTTACTCGCGTTGCTTCTTTACACGCAACCCGACCGATACGACGGCTGTCCCTATCACTCCAACAGCAAAATCCCCCGTTTCAATTTCAGGTTGAAATTCAAAATCCGAATGCGCGGGAAAAAATATTTGTTTTTGCGATTTTAGTCGACAAGGCATATTGTATTAAATAAAAGATTTGGAGTGTCCAAAAAAGTGGAGGAGTTCATGTTTCTAAGTGGAGGTTAATGGAAAGCCAACAGGGTTGATCTGCACACAGCAAATAAGATACCAAGAGCCCAGTCCACGTGTTTCGAACTTCGATGGGGCGGTTTAAACAAAGATGGGTCAGGCATCACGGAACGAGCAGCCGCAGCACTCAGTAGCTACAGTGAGGGAAAAAAAGGATTTGATCCCCTGCTGATTTTGTACGTTTGCCCACTGACAAAGAAATTATCAGTCTATAATTTTAATGGTAGGTTTATTTGAACAGTGAGAGACAGAATAACAACAACAAAATCCAGAAAACGCATGTCAAAAATGTTATAAATTGATTTGCATTTTAATGAGGGAAATAAGTATTTGACCCCTCTGCAAAACATGACTTAGTACTTGGTGGCAAAACCCTTGTTGGCAATCACAGAGGTCAGACGTTTCTTGTAGTTGGCCACCAGGCTTGCACACATCTCAGTAGGGATTTTGTCCCACTCCTCTTTGCAGATCTTCTCCAAGTCATTAAGGTTTCGAGGCTGACGTTTGGCAACTCGAACCTTCAGCTCCCTCCACAGATTTTCTATGGGATTAAGGTCTGGAGACTGGCTAGGCCACTCCAGGACCTTAATGTGCTTCTTCTTGAGCCACTCCTTTGTTGCCTTGGCCGTGTGTTTTGGGTCATTGTCATGCTGGAATACCCATCCACGACCCATTTTCAATGCCCTGGCTGAGGGAAGGAGGTTCTCACCCAAGATTTGACGGTACATGGCCCCGTCCATCGTCCCTTTGATGTGGTGAAGTTGTCCTGTCCCCTTAGCAGAAAAACACCCCCAAAGCATAATGTTTCCACCTCCATGTTTGTGGGAATGGTGTTCTTGGGGTCATAGGCAGCATTCCTCCTCCTCCAAACACGGCGAGTTGAGTTGATGCCAAAGAGCTCCATTTTGGTCTCATCTGACCACAACACTTTCACCCAGTTGTCCTCTGAATCATTCAGATGTTCATATTCTTAGCTCTTTCGGTAAAGTCACGTTGAAGGGAAACACTAAAATAATAAAATATATATAAAACAATAAAAATTCTCACGTTTCGACCATAACAGAAACGGTCGTCATCAGGTGTGTCGTTTTGCATTTATTTATTTATTTTAAAACGGTGTATTTATAAAAAAAACGTCAGCACCACGCGCAAACCGACACACCGTTTGTGTTATGGTCAAAACGTGAGAATTTTTATTGTTTATATATTTTATTATTTAATTGTTTCCCTTCAACGTGACTTTACCGAAAGAGCTAAGAATATGAATTACTGCAGTCACGAAAGCTTTAAATCAAAATTCAGATGTTCATTGGCAAACTTCAGACGGGCATGTATATGTGCTTTCTTGAGCAGGGGGACCTTGCGGGCGCTGCAGGATTTCAGTCCTTCACGGCGTAGTGTGTTGCCAATTGTTTTCTTGGTGACTATGGTCCCAGCTGCCTTGAGATCATTGACAAGATCCTCCCGTGTAGTTCTGGGCTGATTCCTCACCGTTCCCATGATCATTGCAACTCCACGAGGTGAGATCTTGCATGGAGCCCCAGGCCGAGGGAGATGGACAGTTCTTTTGTGTTTCTTCCATTTGCTAATAATCGCACCAACTGTTGTCACCTTCTCACCAAGCTGCTTGGCAATGGTCTTGTAGATTCTAGATTTAAAGCTTTCATGACTGCTAGGATCCATACTCTTTGGTTCTATTGGGTAAAGTCACGTAGGTGAAAATAAAATGACAAAAAATCACGACGTTTCGGCCACAACACAAGCGGCCTTCAGACAGTCTCATCCCTTCACCTGATGAAGGCCGCTTGTGTTGTGGCCGAAACGTCGTGATTTTTTTTATTTTATTTTCACCTACGTGACTTTACCCAATAGAACCAAGGAGAATGGTCTTGTAGCCCATTCCAGCCTTGTGTAGGTCTACAATCTTGTCCCTGACATCCTTGGAGAGATCTTTGGTCTTGGCCATGGTGGAGAGTTTGGAATCAGATTGATTGATTGCTTCTGTGGACAGGTGTCTTTTATACAGGTAACAAGCTGAGATTAGGAGCACTCCCTTTATGAGTGTGCTCCTAATCTCAGCTCATTACCTGTATAAAAGACACCTGGGAGCCAGAAATCGTTCTGATTAAGAGGGAGTCAAATACTTATTTCCTTCATTAAAATGCAAATCAATTTATAACATTTTTGACATGCGTTTTTCTGCATTTTTGGATGCGTTATTCTGTCTCTCACTGTTCAAATAAACCTACCATTAAAATTATAAACTGATCATTTCTTTGTCAGTGGGCAAACATACAAAATCAGCACGGGATCAAATACTTTTTTCCCTCACTGTATACAAATCATTTTATTTCATTCGTGTGTTTTGACATTACCTGGGTTTTTGACGTGAATTTAGTAATGTCGTTTATACAACCGATGCATCTGCCAGCCATCTCAGTCAAGCAACCCATGGCACCTGGGTCTGTCCCGTGACCTCCTGCCAGCGAACCTGCGACACTTGTGGGGGCTGATGCTCCCCTCCTCCTCTCCCCCTTTCCTTCTCTTCTTCTTCCCGCAGGGCTGCTGCCGATCGAGTGATCGGCCTCCCCGCATCTGTGTCCTCTCTGTGGGGCATGACTCGTGGCTGGCTCTCCACCGCCTCGCGTTATCCTGACTCCCTCCCCCGCGTAAACCACCACTCACGCGGTGGCTGCGTGCACGCGCACAACCGTACCTGCTGCTCACCACGTGCATGCGCAGCCACCCGTACCTGCTGCGGTAATGAGGTACTACGGAGCGCAGCCTAACTCGCACCCACGCTCCAATTCATGGCAAGATTCGCGCGTTGCACAGCTGAGCGTTGTCGTCGCTATGCGGACACACTGCATAAAGCACGCCGTGTCAAAACGCACGCGAGTGTAAATGGCGATCTATTGATGATATTCGCACGTTAATCCCCGGTGCAAACACAGTCCATGGCCATATATGAGCGCTAATCCCCTAAGCCACCCGTCGCTACGTAATCCCACTGCGTAAAACGCGCTAGGTAAATACACACGCAATCGCATGCACGCAAACGACAACGATCGTTTTAGGACTGATTACCTGCGCTTTTCACACGTATGCACGTACCCACACCACTCTTACTCTCTCTTCACACACATAAATCACGCGGCGTCGTCGCTCTGTGCTAACGTTTATTAATGTGTTACCTGAAGAAAAGCCCCTCATGGCCCGGAGCCAAACCATCCAGCAAGCAGCATCCCACCTAGCTGTACCCAACCCTCCTCACCTATCCCTCACCCCTCTTACGTACTCACAGTTTCTCACGGACGTGCTGGGAGTCGGAGGGACGATGATCCAGGAGGTCTCTGCCTGGGTTGTGTCCTCGCTGTGCTCGCCAGCGTCACTCGGTCGCTCGAGCGGCTGGAAGTCTGACTGCGTCGCTCGCTGACTTGAGAAGAGAGCTACCCGTTTTCCTTTCCCTCCCTCGTTACCTTCCCATTCAAAAATTCATGACCAAATTCTGTTATCCTCCCGGCCAATCGGGTGCCTCCCCGTGCCCCCCCCCCCCCCATCATTGCCCCTAATATGCGCAGCCAATCGGGTGCTTACGCGTGGCCTAATCCCCTCACTTCAAAGGCCCAGGGTGGCATTGTACTGCGCAGCCAATCGAGTGCTGACACGTGCCCTTTACCTGGCTCAACTCCCTTTCAGTCTGTTCAGGAATTTCCCTCGTTGCTGCTGCTTTGT